AAAAAAAAATGATAATTTCAATCTCTAGACACAAAATGAATGTGTAACGCAAAAAATTGGATGAATTTATTACGATTGTTTCTAATAACTCCTTGGCTCGTCGCGCACATATTTTCTCTCGTCGTACATATATAATATCATGGCTATAGTTTTTTTATTCAAGCATCCTCTGATGTTCTACTGATCTCACAAGTAATTAGTCCCATCTCGAACAGTTGTGTATCGTTTGCATTCCCTATCGGCATTATCAATTAACAAACTTCCCCGTATTAATTTCAATATCGTAGACATTAATTATATTTTAAATGGATCCCCTCAAATTGTTTGCTTTAACGTTGATGATGTACTCATCAGGACTTCACGGCGAGGATAATTTTTTGGACACTCCTGGAAGCATTCAATTGCTCAGAAATATGAAAGAATTAATTGCCAATATTATCGGTAAGTACTATTTCAGTTTCATTCGTGGTACGATGGATTACATCTTAATTATGGACTCAGGTAAAACTTCAGAACCAGATAATCCGGTGTACAAAGAAGCCCAAAAATTAGGACACATCCAGCCCCAAATGTCGAATGACACTCCATTTCCATGTGATGTTTCAGGTAATTTTTTTTTACATATCCTAATTCGAGATAAATAAATATCGATAATAGATCAAATAAATAAAAACCATAAACACTAATATTTATGAGAATAAATGATGTGACCTCCCCTCGTTGTTCTCGATTCAGAAAATTTTTTTCTCTGTCTAGATGGTAGATCGCAACGTGTGCCGACTTCTATACATAAATTAAAAGCAGGTGACATTGACATAATTGGAGCGATGGGCGATTCTCTGACCGCTGGATTTGGTATATTTGCCACTAATATATTCAATATAGTTGTGGAAAACCGAGGTGCCTCGGCCTACGGTGGAGGGCAGAGAAATTGGCGAGAATTATTGACCCTGCCCAACATCCTCAAGGTCTCCCCTTTTTTCAATTTTTTCAATTTAATATTTCATTCACTCTCAATCCAATTTTAATGCCTCATAATTACAGGAATACAATTCTAATTTGTACGGATATGCAACTGATGACTCATTCTCTCATCAATCATCATCACATTTTAATGTCGGCGAGAGTCTGGCGATGTCCAGAGATCTTCCCTACATGGCAAATAATCTCATACAGAGAATGAAAAGTGATCCGCGAGTTGACATCGAAAATCACTGGAAGGTCAATAATTATTACGAAAATCATTAGCAATT